GCGGGAGTTGCGCTACCTCAGGGAGGGAGCCGGGGCGTCCCCTCAGGTTCACCCCCGGCACGTCGCCTCAAGGCTGCACCTGCCGCAGGGCCCTGCCCGTTAGCCCCGGAGGATACGGGCCGGTGGGCGAGCCCGATCCCCTCTCCGTGTCAGGCCACGCTCCTCCTCGCTGACCTTGACCTGTTTCACCTGTCCCCTTGTCACCGACATGGCTGCGTGGAGGCGGCCTCTTGCCTTTGCGAGGGCCAACGCGCTGCAGGGGGTGGTAGGGTCGGGACCAGGGGGAAGCCTGCCAGCTCCCCAGAAGCCCAGCAGGCTTCCTCACCTCAGCCCATTCGGCATCTGTGGGGACAAAGTGGCCTGTCGGTGGCTTGAGCTCCTGGGGTACAGCCCCTTACCTCAGATTTGGGGCCACCAGAGCCTTCAGGGCCTGCTGCTCCATCCCCCCCCTTTTTTTTTTTTTTTTTTTTTTTTTTTAGAATTTCATCTTTGGGGAGCAGCAGAGCTCTACCAGGCTTGGGATCCTTCAGGAGGTTCTTTTTAATCCAAGTAACAAGAATAAGGGCCTGGCCGACAGGCCTTGCAGTCCCTGGTGTTACTGTAAGATAAAGGAGCAAATAGCTGAGTAATTGGGCAAATTGTAGAACACAATAAACACAGTTCTGCAGACTGGCATCCTCTACAAGTTGGGTTTCTCACCAACACCAAAACCAATTTGTCTTTGTGGAAGAGCGCGTATGCTTGGCCATTAATAACAGGTTATTTGGAGGGCTTGGATAACTCTCCTGTGTAGTGGAGTAAGCTAGGACTTGCTTAACTGTGGTGTGAATCAATTTTTCATGGTAATAAGAGACTTTTTGCACCAACTAGTTAACAATTCCTATTCCCAGAGCGAAAGGGTAGGGTGCTCTTTGCTCTGGAGTGCTGGGGTTTTTTTCCTTCTAGCCCAAAATAGAACAGAACTAGTAAGAGCTATGTTGAGTTCATGGTTGATACTAGTACTCAGACAAGAATGTTGTGGGAAGATAAGGTGCTAAATTAAGTTAAACAAAAACAACCCTGCTAATTGCAGATCCATTCAAATGTCAGGCTGCACAAATGGTAAGGGACCTGGGCAAGATCCTTCACTAGTGTAAACAAGAAAGACTTTAGTCTCTTGTAATGTACTAATTTACACCCGTGAAGGATCTAGCTCCTTAGGAATACAAAACCAGAAGTGTTAAAAAGAAAATTTGCAAAACTTTTTTCTCAACCAACAGTGTACTAACCAGGCTTTTTCCCCTTCTACCAGAGCAAGAAGAACAAACTAGCTTAATAAAAACAGCATTTCAAAGGAAGCTTTCACTGCATCTGGTCAAAATAGAGCCAGGTTTCTCTATTTTGAGAAATTGTTCTTTCTTGCAAAAAACCTGTAAAAAAATGACTAATGGAAGAAAGAATGTCACTGCTACCCTTGAAGGCTCACTGTTTGAGGACTATCCTGATAAAGTCTTGATATTAAAATTAACAAATGTGTTTCTTTATGTAAATGTTCCACTTTAAGACCAATGTATTGTCTGGGTTATACAGGACCTTATCCTGGAGCCAGCTGCAAACCATAATTTACAGAGTTCTGCAAAACAAGAGGCTTTATGTTCCTATGTACGCTATTTTGTTCTTCAAAAACTATTTTCAAAATCTTTGAGAAGTATTATGGCATTATGTTGCTATTTATCCATTGATTAAAAAAACAGAGAGTAGAAATACTAATATATCTGAACCTAAGAAAATGGAATTTCTGTATTACTTACACAATTTCCTTCCAAAACAAAAGTTAGAGAAGTATTATGTACTTACATAGCTAAGCAGGGAAGAAAATTAAGAACTAAATTTGATCCTCGGTGTTCAATGACTGAGTGTTCCATGCAACCAAACTTTTTTTCAATAATTTTCTCACTGCAAAACAAGAAAAGTCTCAAATATATTCCATAGCAAAATATATTGAACTGTTTTTCAGGTCAGAAATATTTTCATAAGGTTTTGGTTTGGACCTCTAATTTTGGCAAAACCTTTCAAAGAATCATCACAAATAAAGGAATTTTAAAATATTTAGAATTAGTATTTAGGCAATATCTAAACATCTTTTCCCTGGAGTCAAGGAATTAATCAAAATCCACTTTATTTAATGTGTTACTGGTGAGTAATGACATTTATTTTTTATAGTAAAAATCATTTTGTTAGCTAATTCCCAACTAGTTCTTGTTACTGAATGCCAGAACATCTGTCTGGCATAGGTGAAGGCAAGACCATACTTAATTTAAAGTGTCAAATAGATGACTACTTAGTGATGAGGATCCAGGGAATAATTATCTTTAATATATATTAAGTTACCAAAACTGTATTAGAATTTGCAACATTTTCAAGATGAATACTTTAACATGGTAATGGCAATTCCTGTTTGTCCCCTCCATAAGAAGCCATGTCTTGATATTAATCATGTTCAGTTTACAAAACAACAGAATTATTTATGTGGAAAAAGAGAAAGAAATCTAGAGAGTACAGTGTATATATGGAAGAGCTAAAAATGGGAAGAGGAGGCAGATGAGTGTTAGAATATGTTTGGGTAGCGAGGTAACTAGGCTTTGATAGTGAAGAGAGTAGGAAAATATGTTGGATAAACAGGATATAGGTTTTAAATATTAAGGTGGAACTACTAGACTGAATTTTTTCTTAGAACAATAATGATTTCGTCTACTTTGAGTATTTACAGAACTGTAGCAAAATTAATAACAACAATGATATTTGTTGTTTAACAGTTTGCAAGTACTGTTTTAAATCTTTATGTCTTTCTTTAGAGGATTTTGAATCTAGAAATGAGATGTCATAAGTCACTAAAGTATGATGATAATACACCACTGAAGCTAATGGTAATTCTAGTAATTTAATTGGAGCAGGACTAGTAAAGCATTTCTGAAAATTCTACCATTGGGCTATAGTAGATCAGAAATTCTTGTGCCAGCTTGGGCCTCTGTTTCTGTTAACCTGTACCAAGTTACGACCGATATCATGCATGCATTGTCAGATATGCTTATTACATGCTATATTTTCACTTTGTGCCTGCCATAGTACCGTGTAAGATCATACTGCTTAATCACTGCTGAATGTTTACAAACTGGAATTGCTGCAGCCACTTATAAAGAGACACCTTGATCTTTTATGATTACTTCCCTGTGGAAGCTAAGACTCAAACAAACAGTAAGTATCTGAGTGTTCTCTGTCTTCAGAAAGCCTTTAACACTTACGTTGCAATTACAGGTTGCACCAGTTCTCCAGTGGCATGGAAATCATCTTGTTTGCTGTTAGATTACTTTGGGGGATGGTTTTTGTTTGTTTTGTTTTTTAAATGCCACTTTCCATTTCTGCCTAGCTAAACTAGGGGACACGTTAAAGAACTTTTTCAAGGAGAGGAAAGAGAGAGTTGTTTTGTCTTAATTTTTGGATTCTTTGTCTTGAATTAGAGCAAATATTTTGCTGCATTCCATTTCCTGGAGAATCCACAATTTAATCAAGTTAGGAGACCATTTTAAAAACACCGCCAGCAATGAAGGTAAATGCAACTCAGTACTGAACAAAGAATAAAGTCCTAGATTGTCTATATACTTTCATATAGCAATAACTGTATGACAATAAATTTTGAAATAGTTTCTATCAATCAAAAAATTCTGTTCACAGAGGCATGCCATTATGTTAAATATATTCCTATTAAAAACTGCAAAACAACTAAGTACCTAGACCTCAGACACAACGAAAAGCTTGAAAACACAACAATAACATGTTGAACAAATAAACCTTAGCCTTATGATTCAAAACAGAGGCAAGGAAAGTGGAAAGAGATAAGAGTTTGCTTCATTTTTTTAAATCGTGTGAAGACTATGGCCTAGCCATTTCAGTGGAGAGATGGAGATATATATATAATTTTTCATTCATTCATCAAGTTGCAATTAAGAATAGGTTTTCTGAGTACATCTACACATTTTCCATTGGACTCCTTAGTAATCTTATTTATCATTCTTTTTAATTGATCACAATCTATTAATATACAACTGGTATGCTTTTGTGCCAGCTTAACTTTAGGTTTTACATTTAAGCAAAAACTTTTTAACACACTCTTGAATACATTCATGCTTCTTATGTATAAATCCAGCAGGTTTTCCCTGATGACAGGCATTGATAGTCAAACAACTTAGGTAGCACACCAGTAGAAACTCCAGATACGGAGAGTGAAAATCATTTGAAACTGCAGTATGCCCCAAAAGCCTGACCATTAAGATAAAATTCCTATAATGTGCAGTAATAACTTTGTCCTTCTCCAACTGGTGCCTTGTGGTCCCATAGCTGTACGGCTCAGGAGAATCTTCAGGTTAGTTCAGCTCACTTTTTCCTTCAAGTGAATTTATTCCAGCTTCCTTGATCAGGAAGATCCACAGTTACTGTGTCATTGGTCTGCCTGCAATTTAGGCATCTATTAAGCATTGCTGTCTAGGCTTTCTCTGAGTCAACAAAAGCAGTAGCACCATCAAGAACTACAGGAGTAAGAATGCCTAGGGAAGGTGACACCTTTGCGATTCATTCGAAAAGCACCACAGTACAGCGAACAATATAACCTGGTCTATTTTGAAATGCTGCCTTCAGTGGCAAATTAACTATCTACAGACAGAATAGGACTTGGAAAAAAAAAACCCAAAACCAAAAAACCCCCATGTTGCTCCTCTTGAAACAAATTAGCAAAGCAGAAGTAACCTAACAAGTTACCAGTTGATCAGTCGTAAGTCAGAGACCACATTAATGAATCACTTAATTAAAAAACCTAATCACTGTCAAAAAAGACACATTTTTAACAGGTGTTTATGCAGTCTGCTCTTCTATCAGTCTCTTTCAAGACAAATGGGGCAGACAGAAAGCAGCAGATAACTTTCTATTCAGAAATTTTAAACTGGCTTTTAATTCTACCCCCTCTTTTTGTTGTTGGGTTATTTTTAACAGTGGATGCAGTAAGTTTAGGAATCTGGGCAGCAGAGAGAAGTAACGTTGCAGAAGATAGTAGCATGCACCAGATATCTGGAGTTTGGAGGCTATCCAGTCTAGCAGCTGACAATCCTGATTAACATTATCTCTTTGAATGCTATCTTACTGCATGGTTATGTCTACGTTTATAATCTCTTTTTACATTGTTTTGTAGATTTTTAAAGCATATTGCTGCTGTTTTGGGAAAGAATGTTATTGTCTACCAATGCTCAGGTTTTAAGTCCTAAAGCAAAGTTTGAAGAAAAGTTCTGAGCTTATATTTAGATTTAATGCACACAAACCATCTTTTTGTTTTGTTTTAATGTGTTCAAAGTTATGCATATGTTTAAATGCATACTCTACAACTTGAATTTCAATCTTGCAAAGTAAATATATATA